AAGATAAACATAAATTTAGGGATTCAGGTTAATAGAAAGAATTACCTAGTATGTACTACAAGGAAACCAAACTTGGCCAATTTTCTTCAAATTTTATTTTCAGAATTCCCTCTTTCTTGTTAGGGGGGCATTTATGACCTCAGACCAGCAGCCAATGATTCTAACAATTAAGATACTATTTTGTTACTTTTTCTATTACAAAAATTTATTTTGTTTTCCTTGTTTTTCAAAATGTTTGAAAAACAGTCCTTCCAATAGAATGTTTGCAAAGGTAACTGGACTCAGACAAAAATGAAAGCCAAACAGTATCACAGATAACAGAGTTCAGTATTACACAAGGTCTAAGTTCAAATTCCAGTTTCACACAAGTTCTGTGGCCTTGGACAAGTTATTCAATAAGTCTGCAAGCTTTGTATTTCAGTATCACTCAGTGGTATTTGCACATCTGGCATGTAAAAAGCCCCAAGTACCCATCCCCAGCTAGAAAAAGAAAAACAAACAAAACAAGAAAACTTCCGGGTAGGTGAAATAGCTCCGTAGTTTCACCTTAGGCTTACCATTTAGCCTAACTAAAGTTTGATTTTCAGAACACACCTGGAAAGAGAACCAACTCCAAAACACTGTCTTCTGACCTCTATAAAGGCATGTGTCCATATATAAACATCATGCTCACATACACACGCAATAATTTTTCAAAAACCCCACACTTCTAATTCAGTTTACCTACTGAGAAAATGGGAACACTAAGAATTAAAAGGAGCAATTTATAAAAGGCATTTGGCACAATACCTAAAAAAAAAGTGGAGAACTACTTGAAGGAGGGAGACGCTGCTGTGACCATCACTACTGGTACACTGACACAAAACAAATGCCAATAAATGCTTTTCTTCTCCAGAAGGCATGTCTTAACAAGGCAGGCAATTATATGGACCCAATTCACTAAGTTACTCCCTTTCATTTTCCAAAAGTTTTGTAGAGAAGGAACTTAATGAATTGAATGTATGTTAATTTCACAAACATACTTAATATATTTAACCTCTAATTTTCAGTAGTAATGTCACAAATAGAAAAGTATGATCGTAAACTGTGAACATAAAAATGAAAGTACATAACCTTAATACCATCCATATACAGTTATTTTATTAAATTGATACCATTAATTTAGTCTCTATAATCAATCGTCTTTCACTTAGAAAAAAAAGTGACTTACTATCCACATAAAATAATTCAAATTTTATACCACATCCTGATTTTCCCAAGCCTACATCAGGCATACAATATGAACTTAGTGACAGCATTAGTGAAATCTAATGCTTCATTATCCTACAAGTAACAAGACAGACCTACAGTCTTCTGACATAGGACTTACCTAAACGAAAGTCTTAAAACCTGGGCCAGCAAGATAGTTCAGTGGGTAAAAGCACTGGACACACAAGCCTGACAACTTGAGACCAAGTTCCAGAACCAAGTTAACCTCTGACCTCCACAGGAATCTTGTGTACACACATAGACACACATACACACACACACACACACACACACACACACACACAGATGCACACACGCACATAAGAATTAAAGCAGACGACTTGATGCTATTCTAAACCAAATGACAGGATTGGGAGTGTAGCTCAGTGGTAAAATGTTTATCTAGTATACATAAGGCTCCAGATTCAAGACCCAGCATTTCATTGAAAATTAGATTTAAGCCAAAATCGCATTTACTAAATGCCTATTAGTTTAACAAGAAAAAGAAAACAAAGAAGAAAGAGCAGAAGAAGAAAGCAGCAGCAGCAAATTAAACCAGAGTAAATATTACATATCACTGTAATCAAAAGTTTAAATTTAACTGTTTACTCACCCTAAAAAGTAAAATAAAATAACTCAACTACAAATTTCCACGAAAGACTATAAATTCCTTTTTATTTATTTTTAGTTTCTGAGATAATCTGAAATAGGCCCAGGTTACTCTTGAACTTGCTATATAGCTGAAGCTTGCTGTTCGTCGTTTAGGTTGTGAATAATTGACCTTGCCCTGTCCCTCCAGCCTCTGTGTCCCAAGAGCTGTGATTACAGGCATGAGACAGAATGCTGTCAGAAAATTTTTTTTTTTAGTTTTTTTTAAAGACTTATTTTATGTGTATTATACACCACACATCTCCAAGTACCCATGAAGTAAGAGGAGGCCATCAGCCAGCACTCTTAACCGCTGAGCCAACTCTTAAGCCCCCCCTTCTTTTTTTTTTTTTTTTTTTTTTTTTTTTTTGACTCGTAAGGTCAGACTGGCCTCAAACTTCTTGCTATGTAGCCCAGAGTTGACTTTGAATTCTTGATCTTTCTGCTTCTGCCTCCAAAGTTCTGAGATTGCAGGTGTGTGCCACCACCCCTGGCCTTTCATTATTTAAAAAATTCCAGAAGCCACTTACTCTAATAGTATTGTCAGAGGCAGTCATAATTGTTTGCCCAGGAAAGTACACTGACAGCAAAGAGAACAAGCTCAAAGGGAGTGTCTGTAATAGTTATTTACTTATTAGAGCATGGAGGCACCATCAAGAGTGCCAGTCCTCTCTTTAAGAAGGCTCTTCTCCACAATGTTCATGTGGACATGCAGATCCTTTTCTCTCCCTGGCCATCCCTCTTACAGGTACATGAGCCCAACCAACACCTACCTGTGAGGTACATACCCTGAAAAACACCTACCAGAGTATACTGTTTTTTTTCAGGATTTGAAGGTCCCTTGAATTGGAAGCATCTAAAGTCAACGGACCTTTAAGGCTATTCCCTTTCTGACTCCAGTCTCTTAAGTCTATAATTTCATGAAAACAGAGTGACCTGTTGCATTCCATTGCTCTTGGGTGGAAGTTCAAATTTCTAAATCCACTCCTTACCTCTAGTTGGTTTGGCCCCAGCCTTTCTCTCCAGCCCTGTTCCCTTTTGCTCCCTCTGCTCCAGTCACTGGATCTTCTAAGCTGCCTTGCTGCCACTCTTTGCCCATGCTGGCCCTTCAACACAAGCCCTCAGCAACTCTCAACAGAAAGATGAATCTTAGTCTCACCCTAAAACCACTTGGTTTCTGTTGCTCTTCTTCACCCCCACAGTCAGGCAAAATGACAGTGTGCTGCTTACTAGATTTTTAAATAAAATTAAAGAACTTTTAAGAATAATTTCTTTTACTGGGCAGGGATGGTGCTCACCTTTAATCCCAGTACTAGGAAGGCAGAGACAGGCGGGTCTTTGTGACTGCGAGGCCAGTCAGGAATACAGAGAAACCCTGTCTTGAAAAAATTAAAATATTTATTTTTATTTTGTGTGTAAGTATTTTGCCTGCATGTGTGCCTGGTTCCTGAGGTCAGAAGAAGGTATGTGATCCCCTGGAACTAGAGCCACCATGTGGGTGCAGGGAACCTAACCCAGGTCCCTGCAAGAGCAACAAGTACTCTTAACCACTGGGCCATCTCCAGCTCCATTATGTTATTTTTTTTACTCCCAAACTACAAGATAAGTTCCACAAGAACAAAATATATCCATCTTGTTTACCACTGTATCTCACAGCCTAAAACAGAAGCAAATATGTGCAGATTAACAAGATTCTCAACATCCTCAACTTTAAGCCCAGCCCACAAAATACTGGTCCTGAAGTTACTTTTTTTTTCTCCATTCATAAAACTTAATCATCTTGTCTCTGTTCTCTAAGTCCCCCAGAAGATTTGACATCACCGATTTATGACTTTACTTTAACATTCCAAACTTCTCCCTCACAACTCTCTACTACAAGGGCATCAGCGAAACTCCAGCTTCTGGCCTCCACACCTTGTCTGCATCTTTTTTTCCATCTGGGATTCTTTCCCCCAGCTTCATACTTGCGAGTTCTACTTAACCTCAAATACTCAAATTCAATGTCACCTCCTCCTACTTACTGCTAGGCAGTCACACACTCTCTGCCCCTTCATTTCTGCAGGCCCTCCTGTCCCTCCTTCAGGTCTCAGCCCAAATGACACTCAAATGAGTGTCTAATGTCACCATCCTGTCAGAATCCTTAAAACCACCTGTTTGGATTTTGTTGATAGCGTGTACTACTTTCTGAAATTATCCTACTCATTCCTTTTGCCTATGGTCAACTCCCTGTCGCCCCTCACTAGAACATAGCTCGGTTGGAGCAAGAATCCTACATCATGTTCACTACAGTTCCTCACTTTCCCCACGTCAAATGGGGAAGTAGTCATCAGATATATGACAAAGAGATGGATGACTGTAATTCCTCTAACTTGGAATTCTGTGTACATAAACTTCTCCTGCCTGTGTTCCTAACTTCTTGTGGATCACACCAAAATCTAGCTGCTCTATTTACCTATGTGTATTGCCCATAAATTTTTTCACAACAGAAGCAAATAATAGATAAAGGCTAATTAATTAACAAGTAATCCCTCCAAGAGGTTCTGCCCCAAACCAGGCCAACTCGGAACTGCATGTTACGGTGAATCCAGGGCTAATAGCAATCTCCTCTCTAGACAGCCTGTTCCAATATGCCACCAACAAAAACTAGTTTCTTCACTTTCCTTTCAACGACAATCACTGGTACTTTTAGCTCTAAAATCTCATAATCCAACCCTACCTTCTATTTCTATCCAACATGTCACTTCCCACGGCTGTGCTGCTTTCAGACACTCACATCTCCAATCTCTTGGGATGATCAAAGGCAGTGTTGAAGAACTAGCTCACTCACCTTTTCCTTGACACCTCATTTATCCTAAATAGGCCCGTTTTCAGGGCCGGCTTCTATACTCTTCAGGACCCAAACCTAACCCACAGCAACAAATGCCTCCCGTTCCTTCTCAATCTTCCACCACGGGAAGACTCCAAGGCCACAAATGAACATCCCTCCTAGGAGGCCGGCAACCATCAAATACAGTGGGGCAAGCCCTACCCTCCCGATCTCATACCCTGCACCTGCCTTGGGCCTGGAACATCGGACTGGGCCTGCACCAGTCACCCGCACTCACCTGAAGCGGCCCCCGCAGTGCTGGCATTGCTCGCCCACCCAGCCCGCGGGGCAGACGCACTGGCCGGTGCCAGGGTTGCAGCGGCCGCCGTTGACACACGGCCGGTCACATTCCTTGGCCTCGGCCGCGGCCGAGCCTGACACCGCCGCCGCCACCGCAGCGGCCTCGGCCTCCCGGGGCAGCGGCAGCAGCAGTAGCGAAAAGAGCAGCGGCAGCAGCAGCGGCGGGGGCAGCGCCCGCGACAGTACCCGCGGGAGACACAACCCGGCGCGAGGCCCCGGCCTCCAGGCCCCCGTCGCGGCGCAGAGTCCGTGCAGCCCGCCCTTCCTGCCCGCGGACGCTACTGTCACCGCTGTGTTCCCCCTCAGCCGCGCCTCAGCCGCCGCCGCCGCCGCCGCCGCCACCATCTTCCTGGGGCTGAGCCGGCGCCCAGCGAACACATACACACCCCGCACGCCGGCTCCGCTTCGCCTGGCCGTGCTGGGCGGGGCCGGGCGACGGCGGCCGGGCTGGTCCATACCCAGGGCGGGGCTTGGGCTGCGCGGGGGCGGGGCGAGGGCGGGGCTGACAAGTGCGGCAGGCGGGGCCAGGGCAGAGGCGCTCCAGCTTTGACTGTAGCACAACTTGCTCAATAGCATGCGTGGTCTTGGCTCTGCTGAGCTCCTTCTGGGCTACGGAGGCTCTTCGCTTTCCTCACCACGCCACGACAAGGTAGCCAGTGCCTCCCTACGGCGGCTGCCCGGCTCTGCTGGACATGTTGACTGCGGTAAGTGTTATCCTTTGGACACCTGCCCATCAGCTAGTTGCCCCAACCCCACCTTGGTGAGAAACAGAGCCAAAACGGCTACCTAATGATGTGGTGTGACCCGGCAGAAGTAGTTCTTACTGCATTCGAGTTTCTAAAATAGCGATAACAAAATGGCACGTGTGTTAAGAACCTAGCATATGAACAACAAATGTGCAACAGACTGAATGCACAAGACAATCAAGGCCTCCCTTAATAGCAGATTGAACCAGTAGCAGACCAAGCTTGTGTGCTCCTCTAATCCTGTGGGAGAAGTTTGAAGTCATCTTGTTCCCCACGTCCTATCCATATTCTCTGAAGAAAGAACGGCCCAGAATTATCTGGAGCACTCTCAGCTTCCGCATCCTTCTTGCGAACGTTAGTGCCTCTCCTGCTCCCAATGGTGCATGCTTCCCAACAGTATACACTGTGCCGTCCTCTACCCAGGAATCTACACTGGACCCTTGATGCCATTAAGCCAGTAGAAGAATGTGGTGAAGAGATAGTGTGTCCGTTCCAGTTCTGACCTTAACTCTTTGTTTTGTTTTGGTTTCTGGTGTTTGTTTGTTGTCCTGAGATGCTCCTGCTCTTCCACCTTGGAAAGATTCATACAGAGGCCACATGGAGAGGAAAGGCCCCAGGCACGTGAGCCCTTTGAGCCCATCCTAGCTGGAAGGACAGTCCCTGAGTGAAGAAGCCGTCTGGGGTGTTTTAGCCATCGGAGTTGTTCCACTGTGTTGGTTATGGCACTCTAAAGGAGAAGGTTGATAGAATGAATATATACATATAAATATATATGTATGAGATTTATTAGGTTGGCTTACAGGATGCAGTCCAAGTAGTCCAACAATGGCCGTCTCACACTAGAAAGGATGAGAATCTGGCGGTTGCTTGATCCACAAGGCTGGACTCAGCAGTCCCAATTTGGTGCTAGAGTCCTAGAGGTTTCCTGAAGATCTCACTGCTGATCTTCCGTCTCCACTGGAACTCCAAAGAAGTCAGTTCTAATATTAGTGTGGTAATGCCACAGAAACAGAATAGATGAACTTGCTATCAAGAGTAAGAGCTAGCAGGCAAAAAGCAAAGTTTCCTTCTTCCATGACCTATTATTTAGGCTGCCAGGAGAAAGTGCTTGCCCAAATTTAGAGTGAGTCTTCCTGCTTCAGATAATATGATTAAGACAATTCTTCATGGCTTCTCGATGGTGACACACACTTGGGAGGCAGAAGCAGTTAGATCTCAGTGAGTTAGAGGCCTGCATAGTCTACAGAGTGAATTTCAGGACAGCCAGAGAAACTGTCATTTGTGTGGAAAAAAAGACAATTCTGCATGAGAATGCCTACCTGCTTGTGTGGTTAGTTGGTCCTAGATGCAGTCAAGTTAACAATCAAGAGTTCCTACCATGTCTACATCATGTAAAACAGGGACAAATCTTTCCTACTATACCCAATCCAGTGATAAACACATGACTGTTTCAAGCCTGCTTTCGAGAGGTTAAGCAGAACTTTGCTTCATAAATCTTGGGCTTTGCAGCATATACTTTAGGGTGCAGATACTTTAGGGTTTCAGCACCTGGTCCTGGAAAACAAAGAAAACCTCTCATACAACCTGTGGAACCTTTCTGATTAGGCAGAGAGTACGGTGTTCTAAGATTCTAGAGCCTTCTCCAGAATAGATTCCAGTGTCAAGCTTTGCTCCTAACCTGCCTCACTCTGCATCCCCTGAAAGCTTGGCAGAGCCGGAAATACATGCACAACGGCCTCATTCCATCTCCCAAGACACTAACAGTGGATTCTAATTTTCAAGTTTGTTCATTAGTTTTTCTTTTCTCCTTCCTTCCTTCCTTCCTTCCTTCCTTCCTTCCTTCCTTCCTTCCTTCCTTCCTTCCTTCCTTCCTTCCTTCCTTCCTCTTTGCAGTGTCCTACCTAAGGCTGTGTATGATGAAATAAAGAAATTCAGGACAAAGGCCTATCATGAGTCCTGTGGTAGGCTACGTGGTTACAAAGTCTCTGCTGTTGATGCCACAGGCTCCTGTTTTAACCTTGGTTCCCTGCCTCCAGCACTGTTTGGAAGGCTGTAGGCTTATCCTCCTTGAGGCTTACCCCTGCACTGGTTCTCCTTGCTTTCTCTGAGTCTGTGTTACTATGGGTGGGGTTCAGAAATAGCTGCACAAGTCGCTCAAGACACCCATCTCAGTCACATAGGGATGTTTTATTGAATGCACACCCCAAGACTGATCATCCATCTGGGACACAGATAGACTCCAGAGCCAAGAATGAAAACCTGGGCAGTTCTCAGAGCCTGTTTTTGTTATGGGAACAACCACACACAGGTGCATTTGCAACATTCAGGCTGTCTAGACAAAGCAGTGCTCTCTAACCTTTGAGCTGATTGGCTAGGTCTAATGTCATAGGAATTCAGGGAGTTTCCAAGACCTTGTGATGGGGAGCTTCCAAGCTGGAAAAAGAAGATGTTTTGGTTAGGGCAAGAACATTAGGTCAAATTAAAGTTACGAGCTAAAATAGCGGAACTATTGTCAAGCTTAAGCCTAACACTACCATGTAAGCCGTCAGACAGCTGTGTGCTGTGAACTCCGCCATGCCCTCCCTATGTGATAGACTGAAAAAATCTGTTGTAAACATGGCCGAAATCCATCTCCTTCTCTGGTGTTGCTTTCTTCAGGCTTTTTGGTCACAGCAGCACAAAAGATGCTAGTACAGTCTTTAACACTCCTGCCATGGAGAGAGGAAGCCTCCTCGGCCCCTCCTCATACCTAGGCTGGCCTTGATGATTTGTCTGGCCAGATCATGAAGGATGTTACATTCTGGGATTTCTGAGTCTGGGTCACAAGAAACCTTGGCCCTTCTTTCCAACTGTCTTAGAATACTTGCTCTGGGGAAAACCAGGTGCCATAAAAGAATTCCAGTACACTCTGAGATTGCCATGCTGGAAGGTAGCCAGCCTCCAGCTTTTCTAGTCTACAGCCATTCAAGCCAACAGAGGGAATCCTTGCTAAGCACATATGCGCAAAATAAGTAAGGGCACTTGCTTAAGCCAGTAAGTTTGTTACTTAACAGATAACTAAAATATTGTGTAACTCACTTTCAACAAGGACCAGAAGTCTAGTAATATAGACCCAGTAAAGAATTTATTAAGAAAGGGCTAGTGAAACCAGGTGTGGTGGGTGCATGACTTCAATCCCAACACCCAGGAGGCAGAGGCAGATGGATCTTTGTGAGACCAGCCTCATCTATATAGTGAGTTCTGGGACAAATGCAAGATACATAATAGAGAGACCCTATAATTAAAAACAGGAAGGGCCAGTGATATGGCTCAGTGGGTAAAGATGCCTACTGTGTAAACCTGGCAATTTAAGTTCAACCCTTGCAACCAATATAAAGGTGAAAGGAAAGAACTGACTCCACAAAGTCGTCCTCTGACTGCCACTCTCATTCTATAGCATAGGTACAAACACACAATAATAATAAATTTTTAAATAAAAAAGTAGAATTCATCCAGGTATAGCAGCGTATACTCTTTTAATCCCAGCACTTGTGGGGCAGGAAAAGGTGGATCTCTAAGTTCAAAGCCATCCTGGTCTACAAAGTGAGTTCCCACCAGACAGGACTATGTAGAAGATCCTGTCTCAAAAAATAAAAACCAAAATCATCAACAAATTAAATACAATATGATTACATATAAAGTTGAATATACATGTAGTCAGCTCTATGTCATACCTAGTACATTCTGGTACTGTCCTATCTGGTCACTCCTCTGGAAGGGTGTCTTTTGAACTCCATGTACTAGTTATGTTTAAAATGCCCTGACAAAAAACAAGCTTGGGGGCTGGAGAGACAGCCCTGAAAGAAGTTGCTCCCGCAGGGGACCCAGGTTTAGTTCCTAGCACCTACTCAGTGGCTCATAACTAGCTTCCATTACTCTAGCTCCAAGGGATCTGACCCCTTCTTCTGATTTCTTCATATAAACATGTAGGAAAAACACTCATACACATACAATAAAGTTCATCTTAAAGGAGTGGGGGCGGGGAAGCAAGTTAGGAAATAAATGTTTCCAGTGGCTTATGTTCCAGAAGGGATGCATTTCATCACAGCAGAGAAGGCATGGCAGGAAGAATCTGTACATGGCTTGGCAGATAGGAAACAGAAAGATCACACTTCATCCATACAAAGGTAGCAGAGGAAATAACAGGAAGTGGGACCAGCCTATATAGCACCAAAGCCTCTTCCTGCAAGCCTTCACTTCCTAAAGGTGCCATAATCTTCCCAAACAGTGTCATCAACTAGAGCCCAAGTGTTCAAATACATGAGCCTATGGGCAACATTTCTCATTCACATCACAGTTCCATGTGCCTTTGTACCTAGATGCTACCCTTCCATCATTGGTCCTTCCTAAGGCAACCATTTCCAGGTCCCAGGAATGTTAATGCCAATGACAAACAAAAACAAAACCAGCCTTTAACCTGGAATGCTTTAACTCTAGACTGTAATAGCATAGTCATTATGTTATTACATTATGTTATGCCTGGTTATAAGCCGCCATAAGGGTACCAGGAAACTGAACCTGGGTTCTATGAGCCTATTGGGGCCTGTGGTGGTTTGAATGAGAATGGCTCCCATAGACTAATATATTTAAGACTTGGTCCCCAGAAGGTGGAACTGTTTG